CCAGATTTGTTTATTTGCAACACAGTCATGACGGAAAAGGGAAAAGCTCCAGCAGGAATTTCAGGGCTCAAAAGCAGGCAAGCGGGAAAACATGCTCAGACACGACGCTGGTAGGTTGAACGTTAACTCGCGCCAAGAGCTCCCGAGGCACTTTGGAAAAGTTCCCATTTCCCAGGTGGGCAAAGCTACAGGGGAGGCCAGGGCTTCAACTCAGCAGAGAAGCTCAGCTGGGAGCTGGTTCTCAGCACTGTGGAAAACATGAAGCACTAAAGCGCTCGCGAATAAAAAGGCGTGGGAAAAAAAAATGGAGCCTGCAGGCCTGGAACTGAAAGGAAGCTGAGCTGGCTGGGTTCTTTCCCTCTTTCTTTCTTTCTTTTTAAAATAATTTTTATTGAATGATTTTATGTTACAAAAAAACCCCCAAAAACATTCAACCATACCACCACAAAATATAATTGAGAAATAAAAATTACATACGTCAATATTTAGTTTATTTGTTATTTGCCATCTTATTTCCTCCCAAACATTTCATACAAAACACACAAAAAAGGGGGGGAAATGATAATAATGAAAGTAAATATTTTTTCCTCTTTTATCTTACGAAATCTTTTCTTCAACTTTGACTTCCTGTCAAGTCCCTTCGCATACATTTTAACTTACAATCGAATGTACACAAAACAATAGACCTTTCTATATAAATTTTCCAATACATTCAGAAAACAGAATAGATCCTTAATTGTTGTCCACCTCCTTTTACTTCCTTTGTCACTCGAATGCTAGCACGGAGTCAAAACTATTCTTGTATTTTTGAACATAGCTTCTATAACCACCCCATTTTTCCGCAAATTGTTGCTTGGAGATTTCTCTGAGTTTGCTAGACAATTGAGCCATCTCCACCAATTCCTGTAATTTGATCGGCTGGGTTCTTTCTTATAAGAGAAGCAGGGGAGGCAACTGTCATAATCTGGAGGCTTCCCCCTCTGTTGGCACCTCTCTTGACACATCTCAAACATTGGAGACACATGGCTTGCCAGTGGTACATGTGTAAAGGATCTGGGTGTCTTAGTGGACCACAAGCTGAACACGAACCCACAGTGTGATGCTGCAGCAAAAATAGCAAATGCTATTCTAGGCTGCACCAACCAAAGTCTAGTGTTCAGATCAAGGGAAGTCAGAGTCCCTCTCTATCCTGCCTTGGTCAGACCATGCCTGGAATCCTGTGTCCGGTTCTGGGCACCACAATTTAAGAAGGACAAGCTGAGACGTGTCCAGAGGAAGGAGACCAAGATGATCAAAGGTCTGGAAAACAAGCCTTAGGATGAAGGGGTGAAGAAACTGGGTGTGTTTAGCCTAGAGACAAGGAGATATATCTGGAGGGCAGTCTCATGAAGAGGAAACCAGCTTGTTTTCTCCTGCTCCAGGGGGCAGGATCCGAGCCAATGGCTTCAAGTTACAAGAAAGGAGATTCAGACTGAACAGCAGGAAGAACTTTCTGACACTAAGAGCTGAATGGTTTCCCTCTGGAGGTTGTGGCCTCTCCTTCCCTGGAGGATTTTAAGCAGTGCATGGCTGGCCATCTGTCATGGATGCTTGAGCTGAGATCCCTGCATTGCAGGGGCTTGGATCAGTTTCCCAAACCTGGGTCTCCAGCTGTTTTTTGACTACAACTCCGATCATCCCTAGCTAGCAGGACCTGTGGTCAGGGATGATGGGCACTGTAGTCCAAAAACAGCTGGAGACCCAAGTTTGGGAAACACTGGACTAGATGATCCTTGGAGTCCCTTCTGACTCTACGATTTTGACCCTTTGTTTTTGTTGTTTAGTCGTGTCCGCCTCTTCGTGACCCCAAGGACCAGAGCAGGCCAGGCACTCCTCTGTTCCACTGCCTCTCGCAGTTCGGTCAAACTCATGCTGGTAGCTTCGAGAACACTGTCCAACCATCTCGTCCTCTGTCGTCCCCTTCTCCTTGTGCCCTCCATCTTTCCCAACATCAGGGTCTTTTCCAGGAAGTCTTCGCTTCTCCTGAGGTGGCCAAAGTCTTGGAGCCTCAGCTTCAGGATCTGTCCTTCCAGTGAGCACTCAGGGCTGATTTCCTTCAGAATGGAGAGGTTTGATCTTCTTGCAGTCCATGGGACTCTCAAGAGTCTCCTCCAGCACCAGAATTCAAAAGCATCCATTCTTCGTCGATCAGCCTTCTTGATGGTCCAGCTCTCACTTCCATACATCCAGCGGGGCTTACTCGTGAGTAAGTGGCCGCGCTGAGGCTGATGTAGCTGCGCGTCTCCTTCCACCCGGCGGGGCGGAGGAGGAGGCTCGCTCTTTCGGATCCGGGCCGACGGCTTTCTCTCCAGCAGGCTCCGACGGGGCGCCCGCGGGCGGAGAGCGGCGCAAGGTTGCGCAAGCCGCGGGAGCTCTTGCGCAGCCTGGGAGCGGCTGGGTCATCCCCGCTGCCCCGCCGGGGTTTTCCCGGCCCGCCTTCTGCGTGTCTGGCTTTTCTGGGCGGGCCGGACGGGAGGGGGCTCCCCGTGCGCTCAGAAGGGCGGGCCGCGCAGGCGGAGGCGCGCCCGCGTGCCCGCGGCAGGGAGCGGTGCGCCAGGCTCCCTGCTGGAACTCGGCCTTAAGGCGTTACGGATTTATCTTCGCCAGCAGGGTGTACATGACATCCCAAAAAATAAGGGTGCCCCAGAGCATAAGCAGAGTGCATTGCAGGCGGTGACCCTTGGGATCCCTTCCAATGCTACGATTCACTCCCTGAAGAAGCCTAATGTGGCTGGACTGTGGCACTTTGGGGGAGTACGGCAAGGCTGTATATTGTCTCCTTGCTTATTTAACTCATATGCAGAATTCATCATGCGAAAGGCTGGGCTGGATGAATCCCAAGCCGGAATTAAGATTGCCAGAAGAAATATCAACAACCTCAGATATGCAGATGACACAACCTTGATGGCAGAAAGTGAGGAGGAATTAAAGAACCTTTTAATGAGGGTGAAAGAGGAGAGCGCAAAATATGGGCTGAAGCTCAATATCAAAAAAACAAAGATCATGGCCACTGGGCCCATCACCTCCTGGCAAATAGAAGGGGAAGAAATGGAGGCAGTGAGAGATTTTACTTTCTTGGGCTCCATGATCACTGCTGATGGTGACAGCAGCCACGAAATTAAAAGACGCCTGCTTCTTGGGAGGAAATCAGCCCTGAGTGCTCACTGGAAGGACAGATCCTGAAGCTGAGGCTCCAGGACTTTGGCCACCTCATGAGAAGAGAAGACTCCCTGGAAAAGACCCTGATGCTGGGAAAGATGGAGGGCACAAGGAGAAGGGGACGACAGAGGAAGAGATGGTGGGACAGTGTTCTCGAAGCTACCAATATGAGTCTGAACAAACTGTGGGAGGCAGTGGAAGACAGGAGTGCCTGGCGTGCTCTGGTCCAGGGGGTCACGAAGAGGCGGACACGACTAAACGACTCAACAACAACAACAAAAGATGGAGCAAGAAGATTTTAGATGCAGAACTACCAAAGGAGCAGAAAAGACTATTCATGTATGCAGTGACAGCAGCGAGGATATTACTGGCCCAGAGGTGGAAAGAAGACGAAGTCCGATCAGAGATAAATGGTTGATAAAGATGATGGACTACGCTGAAATGGCGGAAATGACCGGGAAAATCAGAAACCAGGAAGATAGAAACTTTAATAAGGAATGGGAAAAAATTGTAAGTTACTTAAGAGAACACTGTAAACAACTAAAAACTTTGGCAGGATTATAACAACACTTGTAATGTAACAAAAACTAAGATCAAAATGGATTTTTAAAGAAAGGTGGAGAAACTATATGATGGGGTAGAAGAAGACTGACAATGAAACCCATGGAAGGGGGAGGGGAGTCTGAGGTTTCAGGGAATCCTATAAGATTATGATTATTGTTTGAATTATAATGTATATTGTAAAATGGAAAATTAATTTAAAAAAGGATGGAGCAAGAAGAGTCTTCTGTAGAGGGAGCCCCTTGCCATTTGAGGACCACCACCCCTTCCTCTCAGGCCCAA